GCAGCAGTGACTGGTCTTTATTACAGGAGGGGCGGAGACAAGACCAGTCACCCTGCACAAGGAGAGAGAGCAGCAGTGACTGGTCTTTATTACAGGAGGGGCGGAGACAAGACCAGTCACCCTGCACAAGGAGAGAGAGCAGCAGTGACTGGTCTTTATTACAGGAGGGGCGGAGACAAGACCAGTCACCCTGCACAAGGAGAGAGCAGCAGTGAGCGGTCTTTATTACAGGAAGCACCAAGTCTCACACTAGATTGCGGCACAGACCTGGAAGAAATACACAAAGCTCCCCAAGATTCCAGGAAGAATACACATGGACCTTGTATGAGGACAATATTGGTTTTGCATGTACAGAAGACCTAGGATAACACCTAATTATTTTTCTTAGTACAGGTTACCTTCAAAACTTTTTTTTTCTTGGGTGGAGAAAGGGATAGGGATCACCTGACAATTTGTTACTGCTATATGAGACTCCCATTAGAGATTTCTCCTCACTTCCGGAACGGGTCATCAGTTTCACCAGACAGCGAGCGATTGATTGGTAAACCTCGGATAAGAATGAGTGAAATTTGGCAAGCATGAACTTGGTGGCAAATCCTATCAGACGTGCTACTATAGCACCGACAGTGAGCTTCCGGATCCTGCATGAATACAAGGGGTTCTCTGATTGGACAAGGGGTGGTGACATCACTAAGCATGCTTCATCCAATCAAAGAACATCTTGTATACATCAATGAAAATACTAGGCGTTGTCTGAATGGCGGCTGTGCCGAGCGAGGGACCCCCCTCCTTGTGTTTTCAGGGAAAGCCACTCAGCTCAGCCCCATAGAGTACCAGGGAGATCTCTGCCAGCTACTACACGGCTTTGCAGGATCACTGTGGGCCGCTCGGGTATGACATGTGCCTACTTATATTGGGCCAAGGCGGACCAGCGTAAGTATGCATTAGGGCTGCTGCTAACGATCAATTTCACAATCGATAATTTTTTCGATTCATTGGATAAAAAAATAATTAAATACCATCTTATCAAAAATGCCCAAATGGAGTGTTACAAGGTTTGCTTCAGAATAAAACTGCATGCACCATTTTTTTTTTTTTTGCAATTGCACCGCAACGCACGGCATTGTAGTACGATCGCACTACGGAGGCACATTTGGAGTGCCATTGAAATGAAATGGCACCGCAACCAGATAGCCAATAGGAGGCTGGTTATTGCACCCGCCCACTGCCAATCAGCAGAGGAGGCACCTGAAGGAGAAAGTTCACACAAACAGCAGCATGCTCCCGGCAGGGAGGTTTGGAGGAGCTCTCCTCACTGCTGGGCACCGGCTGCAGGGGTCTGTGTCCCACAGAGCCGATGAAACACTGGCTCCCAGTGTGGAGGACAGAATTACGGGATCCAGATCAACGACATTGTTGACACCAAAGTTCCAAGGACCTGTAGCACTCCTTACCGGACTTCCCATGTGGAGATGTGGGTGCTCGCAATGACTACGGATGGCGCCGCATCAGATATAATCGTTGGATATGGATGTCACCAGCACTCCAGAAACGACAAAATAACAAAAGGTTTTAGTGAATCTTCATTTTATTCACTCGAAAGGAATCAAGCGCTTTCGGGGCCGCACAGGGTCCCCTTCATCAGGCTTAAAGTGATGAAGGGGACCCTGTGCGGCTTGGTTCCTTTTCGAGTGAATAAAATGAAGATTGTTGACAACAATTCTCATTATCGATTAGTTGGTTGCAGCCCTAGCATGCATGAAAGGTTTTACCTGGAATTCACTTTTAAAAACACTCTGAATTGGGTCTGGGGGTTGACCTAAGAACCACAAAGATATATGGAATGAGACAACGTTAAGAAATTATGACTTTATTTCACAGGAGCACTAAACTAGTGCAGTGGATTCACAAAGACTGGCAGGGTCCAGTATCCACCATGCTGAAAACACAAATGACCTTATTTCCTAATGTTTGCAGAGCTCAGTAAGAAAAGAAAAAAGAAACCTATTGGCACTAAACTGTTAAAAATATCCGGCGCGTAGAATCTATCCTCGGTACCATATTATTTCCTTACATTATTCCTATCAGACCTCGAATGAGTTCACCACATGAACTGCCACTTCTGCTCGGGGGGGGTATGGCTGATATGCATCTAAAGAGATTTCTCAGCCGTGCCCAGTGATGCCGCTTCTCTCCTTCTGTCCCTTCGTATTATAAGGTTTCCTTCTCCTCCCTAATAAATTAGAAAGCTTTCAAGTGTCTAGAAGGCCGAGGCCAGGCGTCCAGTAGAAGCCGCTTCTCGTGATCCTGCTCGCTCTTGTCCGCTGGCTCTGTCATGTGATTCAGCATGGCTGCCTTACACAGGTTCTCTCCACATTGTCCCGGCAGCCGATGAGATTAGTAGATTTTCTGCCTGCTGGGCAGGATGGCTTCCTTGATGAAGGAGAAGATGACCAATATTCCCGAGCGTTTTCCTCTTTTACCCTTCGTGAAATAGTTGGACACGACATCATCTGTGAACAGAACATAAATGTTGTAGTACAGGATAAAAATGCTTAGAAATTATTCCAAACAACTTTTTAAAATCCAAAGTACATCCTCAAGTACGTTTAAAGAACTCCAGGAATTGAGAGTAAACTGGAGTTAAAGGGTTAATGCTCATTTAGGTTTAGGGGTTGGATAAGAGACAATATACTCACCCGATCCTCCCTGGCTGCTAGCCTGCGTCCCGCAGCCTCTTCTCCCCTAGGCGCCGGTGGTCTAAGGACCCCTGATGTCTTTACGTCTAATGCAGGTCCATTCACCTTACTAACATGATCCTTGGTCCCTCCTGGCTGCTAGACTGGTCCCCCGCAGCCTCCTACTCCTCCAGGCTCTGGTGGTCTAAGGACCTGTGACATCATTACGTCTAATGCAGGTCCACAAGATGTGAGGACACAAAGCTCCATACAGAGCTGAGGGGGAGAGAGGTGAGTGAAGACTGCCGCAGGAACATGATGATCAGGTGAGCAGTGC